AAGAAAAGCACACATTAAGGAATTTTGTTTAGTTTGGACTGTTTTTTCTTCTTCTTCTTTACATTCTAACTGATGTTCAGTTCCTTACCCAGCCATTGCTGAGAATGTTCACTATATGGACTCAGTGCTGCCGCGCACGAGTACAAAACCATGAACAACACGACTAGACGAACACGACAACGGACAAGGACAAAAAAAACAAACGTCAGGGCCAAAAAGTGAGATGCGCTTGCCATGTAAAAAGGATCTGGAGAAAACAGAACGAATAGATGAAGAAGCGTAATTTGAAGAGATCAAAACTAGGCTAGGTTATGGGAAATCAAATCCACCTTGAAGAAGCGGCCTACATGCAGACGACTGTGTTTTCACTGCCCTATTTCTTCTTCTTTCGTATGGCTTGCGCATCCCTTCGCTCGTACCCCCGCCCTGCAAACAGGGCGCTGGGAAGGGATGATGAGCTTCACAGAATCTTGTGAAGGAATAGGGGATGGCATTCTGGGTAATATATCATGACCTATGTACATACATCTGGCTGCAGTTGTTTAAGACCGCGGTCAGCCAATGCGCGCAAATGCTATCCGAAAACTTTCTCATAGAAATGCATACGTTCCATACCGGATGTGATTTCTTTTTCATTGCGGACCATGAGGACACATTTTAAGCGTGGAATAATAATACATTTCAACCCTTCGAAAATTCGAAACGGAGCCTGAGTAACTGACGGGAGTTGAAAATTTACAAAACAGATAAGTTTGACAGATTTTCATTACGCCTACATATCATTACGCTTTTCAACGAAAAGAAAAGGCATTTATAAGTGGGAAAAAGAGTGACGAATGACTTAGTATTAACAGACGTTTAAAACCTTGCAGGGTCGTGGTCGTGATGACTTTCCGGTCACAAGTCAGCGCAAAATCTATCCAATCAGGGCGTGAATTCATCAACCCTTTCCAGCGTCCTGTTTGCAGGGCGGGGGTTGGTACGAGCGATGCGCATCCTATATACTACGCCGCACTATGTCAAGTCGAGGTTAGACATCCAGGGCAGGCCACATCCAATCTCCTGGTGGATGGCCTTGATGCTGCCAGGGGAGCATCTCAGCGGCCAGTCATTCACAGTGTGAGGAATGGTCTGGTCTGGGTGCCCACTGCCTGCAGTCACAAAGAAGGCTCTCCATCATCTTCCATTAGGTGGTGGGCAGTTCTTGCATGGAGAGTACAGATCATATTAGATTCACCCACTGCATTATGATGGAGATTGTTGCTCCAAAGTAAGATATGAGATGAGCTCTTTGTTGGCAATGTCAGTAGCTGCCCAGAATCTATACACCACTCTTCCTTTGGGTCAAAGTGGGTGTCTTCAAGAAAATTGGCTGATGACCAAAGCGGTACCATTCCAGAGACGTGGGCCGTGAAATCGAATTTTGTTCATGGGATGGAATGCGAGTTACACATTTGTTGGTTGATCTTGTCCATAAATGTTGTGGACGGCCAAGAAGCGGAAAAAATACCAAGGGAAGAAGTTTGTTCACTTATTTTAACATAACACTTCCCGTTTAGCAATTTGTGCAATTTGTAGTGGCTCAGTTTTGATAGAAATATAGAGAGTATACAGTTGATGATTGCTAGATAGTGCGCCTATAGACAATTTTAGCAGTGGCGAATTTAGGCCGGAGAGGGGGAGGTAGGAGTTTAAACTACCCCTTGGGCCGAAAAAAAACCCAGGAAAATCATGCAGAAAAGCTACCCCCGCCCCGACTGCAACCCCCCTCCCAACCAAAGCCTGATCCGCCCCTGGTTAGACTAGCTGAGATAATAAGGAAGAATACAAGTCTTATACGTGTGAAATAAGTTGGCTGAGGGCATGGGCGTTGCCCGGATATTTTTCTAGAGGGGGTAAAGCACTCACCATAAGCGAAGGGAGCAATCACCGGCCTTGGAAAAATCGAGAGCCTGCAGGGTGCTAGACATCACTCGACGCGGTGTTAAAAACCGGTCCATTTGCTAAATCAGTAGTACTATATACCGGAAAATACCGGCAAATACCGGAAAACTACCGGAAAATACCGGAAAACACCGGACAACTACCGGAAAACTACCGGAAAACTACCGGAAAACACCCTAAATACAAGAAAACACACTAAACACCGGAAAACACCAAAAACACTAAATGCCGGAAAACACACTAAATACCGGAAAACAAAGGAACACACACTAAATACCGGAAAACACAAAAAATATACTTTCAATTAACAGTAATATAATTCACTCCTCGTCTTCTATTTTGTTTTTGTTTTCCCTCCCCCTTTTTTGTTATTGTTTTGTTGCTTTTCCGGGGGGGATGCCCCTTGCCCCCCCCCCCCCGTCACGCCCATGCTGAGGGGACAATTTCTTATGTTTGGCAGAACTTCGGTATTTCTAATGAAATAAATATGGTCGTTCTTTGTCAGTCTCTCATTAACGATGACTCCAAGACCTTTAAAGCCTTTAAAGTGCACCAGCAACATTGGTATATCAACAATGTAAACAGGAGACGCAGGAAAGGGTGGTTTGGAGTCTTGTTGAAAACCATTTGGTTTTAACTTGTACCTGGATTAAGGGGACATTTGTTGGCTTAGAACCAAGACGAAAATAATCGTTTAAAATGTTGACAAAAAGCATGAAGATTTTAATCATAGAATATAATGGTTGTATCATCAGCAATAGTTTGGAAGAATGACGAAGGACTAGTCCAGTGTGTACAGAAGAATGTAGTACACAAAATAGAGGAATGCAAACGACCAAAATACAAAAAGTAGGGGTTTCTAGGTTGAACTAAGAAATACAAGCAGAAAATTCATGAGGTGAAGCAAAAATCGAAGTGCATCTTGATCTCAAACAACAACATTGGAATTCTCAGTTGTGTTTTCCGCGCAATGTATGTTGAATCAGAGATATTATCAGTTGGAATTACTCCAACAATAGAATCCTACTTCCTTTTTTTTTTTACAGTTGTCGCCCTATTTCCCTTCTCGAAAATCAAATTACCACTTTTAGAATGCGTTGCGATCTAAAGAATATTGTTTGTAAGGTTTGGGCCAGGAATGGAAGGCTTTTACTGGGTTGTTTTTATTCCTCATAGAGAAAAAGTCACAAATTGAGTCGCATTGTATTTCCGGGTTGGAAAAACACGAAAAGCTTTTATGCAACGGAAAGGTCATTCTCATGGCCCCAAACTGTCTTCCTCCATACAAAATAACATTATAATTATGCCCTTTATTGATAGACGCTAGGGACATAGTAATTTTCCCCAAGTATTGAATATCAGTCCTATACAATGTTAAAGTCTTGAAGGTTTTTGTTTTGTTTGATGACCTGTCTCCTTCTCCGAACGAACAGGAGAACCTTGTAGGAATTTTAATCAAAATATGGAGAAAATATTTGGTAAATTAAACCTTGGCATATTGTATGGATAATATCATTACATGTATCAATTCATGAATGTCGCCCTTAATATTCCGACTGATGACCAAGAACGTTTTCCGCGCGTGGAGAGAATACACATACAGAAATCAGGGTCTTTATGGTGGCTCTGAAGGGACATCGCCAAACGTGAATATTGACTCCATTGAATATGGATATTGAAATATCAACATTCGCGACACTAGATACCTTCATTCAACAACTCAGTTCATATCCACATAATGAGATAGTTAAACCTATAATCGATTTAAAAATTAACACTTATTTAGTTGTCGGGATCATATTGAAAGGGATTTTATATATATATTTGTATAACTGTATATTGCCATTCGGGGCGATGTTAGAAGCACAAATTTTGTTTTCTTTATTACTAGAGGGCATCAGCGGCTTTATGTTTTGCTTGTGATCGTGAGTTCTGTTATTCTGTCCTAGTCAACATTCGCTTTAAGGAAAGCTTTTCTTCCTGGTTCCATATAACGAGTTTCTGATCCCTCCGTGTCCCTTGCTGAATAAGGCCAAGGTTTATACGCACTAGACACAATAAATCACGCGCTCTTACTCGGTCTAATAACATGCAACATGAATTCGTTCCAGTCGGTTACATGGTCAATAGACATCAACTAGACGAAATGACGGCAAGCTTTGTTAACAATCATGTGCGTTCTTTTATGGGAACCGGGCGGGAACTATAGTCTATGGAATATCCCCTTGCACTGCAAGGATCTATGATATAATTATGCAAAACAGGACTGTGTCTTCACCTCAATATTCTGAACATTCAGCGGGCGCCTTCTATCGGGTATTCCGTAACCCGCTGATGTATTACAAAAACATGGCATCCAAATTGACCTATCAGCAGCCTAGTCCACATTGACCAATCAACAGCCTAGTCCACATTTCTGATCGAAATGACGCAACAGTCCTAAAGTTCACACCGATTGGCTAGCGCGCGGGGTCGCATACAAGTTGAATGCTACGATAAATCAGACGATCGACCGTGGTCTCTACACACGTGAATGTCTGATCCTCACACTAGGCGGTGACCAGAGCCACCAAGCTCTCATGAAATAGGCGCACACGTAAACAAAGCATGACGTCATTATGTCTCAGAGCTATTTCCTACACATGGTTGGTCCCGCGTCACGCATGCGTAGTCGCGGTTCGGAAAAGTCGGGCTTTTCAGGAAGAAAAAAATAGATTCAGCGGCTGTGACAAGCACTAGAAAATCTAAAGTAGGCCTACATGTACTTCGTTGAGATGTTTCTATCGATCCACTTCAACGCAGGCACTTGCTCTTCGGCATTTTATTGTAGAGTGCGTAAACATTCGATAGCCATTCAGGCGAAATCGGACAAGTTGATTTCGTGCGCTGCGTAAATTAAACTAAATGAACTTCAATGAATAAATTAACCAGCTGGTTGGATTGAAAAATCAAAAAGCTTCGCTGATCCTACTAGCGCGACTTGAACGTTTGTACAGAACACAGTCGGTTGAGGAGTTGGAGAAGACCCGCAAGCTATATAGGCCAACTCAGCAAAAATGGACCGATGCAGCACCGTTGACTGCGCCCGGACTACTGCAATAACACCGGGAGACTCATCTGATGATTCAAGTAATGACTGGGGTGTGGACAAGGTAGCGGGCAGCGACTTGGTGCTAGCCCTGTATGGCATGATCTGCACGGTAGGAGTGGCCGGCAATCTCCTGGTCTGTATCGTGCTGCTCCGCGTGCCGTCCCTCCGCTCCAACACCAGTGATTTCCTAGTGCACCTCTCCCTGGTCGATCTGGTGGTCTGCGTGCTGGTCATTCCTCACAAGATCTTGCCGCTGTTGAGCCAGACCCCACCGCCCAATCCAACCATCTGGGGCCAGCTCTGGTGCCGCCTTTACGTCAACCAGTACCCGTTCTGGGTCTGTGCTGTCACCTCCGTCGATAATCTAGTCCTGGTGAATCTGGAACGTTTTGTAGCCATCGTCTACCCCCACAAATACAAGAGAATCTTTGCCAGTCGAAACAAATACCTCATGCTTGGCTTGTGCTGGATCCTGGCCATGCTCACCAAATCCTTTATCGTTTTTCTGTCCGAAGAAGATCCCGTGTCTGGTTGTCGTTTTGGTTGGCCCAGCCGGGGTGTCCAGGCGGCGATCGGCGTTCTAAACTTCATCATCAATCTCTTTGCTCCGTTCGTGCTGATGATTTTGGTGCAGTGGAAAGTCATCTCAACACTGAAGAAACAAGTTAAGACGCTGACTGATCGAAATGGTGAGTCAAACGGTATTGAAAAAAAAACGCCTTCATTACGAAATTTTTACAAGTACCACCAAAGACATAAACATACAGTGTATCTAAAATGAGACGTGTATTATGGAGCAAACGTTTCGACCAATTTGATTCAATTGACAACTTTTGGGTGGGCTTGATATTTATTTCGGGAGATGGTGTACTTGGGGTTTCTCAATCTATTCGAGAAAAAAAAAGTGGCGTCTAGCACTATAGCTTTTGTTTTTGGCTCATAATATAGGCCTACATGTATTCTGAATTGCAGTAACTGCCGTCACTTTGTAATGTGAACTGAAAACATTGTAGGACGCATTTCTTTCCCCAAGCAAAATATTTTACCGACTTGAGAACGAGCATTGGGCCTACGTGCACAGATTTTAGATTCCGTTTTTCCCAAATGTGAAAAAAAAAAAAATCCCAAATGGCAATCGTAGCTACCTGTTTATACAAGAACCCGAAGAAACCCGAATCAAAAAAGGGCTTCCAAAGCTATGGCTACGACTATTGTCAGCTTGTTCCACGTAGTTGTAATCGGCGAAGACCGGGACAAGAGATTCGTTCACGGCTTTTGCCATGGCCAACAGGGTGTAGCTGCTTGCCGTCTCATCGGATCAAACGAATCAGTAAAAAACACAATGGTAAATAATTGTTTTAATCAAGCTTTCTTTAAACCCAACCAGCCAAAGAATAATTATGTTTACTTTATAAGTAGACGCATCCATCAGCAATGACGCAGACGAGGGCAATTTATTATTTTAATCTGCTCACCTCAGTCCACCCCATTTCAAAAGAAGCGACCCCCTGTACAGCGCCACCAAGTGCTAAATGGTGTCCAGTATCTTTTACTGCCACCTGGCACAAAGCATTGCGGGTAGCCCACTAGCCATAACCATTGCACGAGATTCAGTTTGCACGTCTTTTGTTCATTGATGCACCAGTGTTGTCTGGGTTACCAAAAATCTGTCCAATGGGAGTTCAAACCTCTAAATGCCGCGTGACGGGGTAAACAAAATCCGTCCAATCAGCGCTCAAAGAATTAAATTGGTCATCTTACATCAATTGATAGTGGGGAAAGTAAGAGCGATGTTCACCTTTAATTGAGCTCCTGGTGACAGTACTGTGACCCCCCCCCCCGGAAAAAAAAACAGGAGAGAAAAGAAAATTAGTTCTTGCGATGTTCGTGATGCTGCATATTAATTCGGTGCAAACGGCTAACTCAAATACGATATCTATCTATCTATGCTCTCAAAGGTACTTATTTACGTTTGGGAAGGAATAAGCAATCAGTGACATTTGTCTTTTCCTGAGACACACGCGACCTAACTCACGACAAAATTAACATTATTATATTTGTTTGTTGGTTTGTTCATTTTGTTTCGTCCAATGAACCACAAAATCAATAATATTTAAAAACACATGTAGACTAAAACAAAAAAAACCTACTTTCCTGAAAAAAGATCCATCAACAAGAAGAAGAAAGAATTTTAGAATAACACTCCAGTCCTATTTTCCATTTCATGTAATTTACAGCTATCTCGGAGATGAACCCAGCCGATCGGCGTAAGATGTGGCAGCTGAAGGCGACCCAGATCCTGGTGCGAACCCTCCTGGCATTCGCTGTAACCTTCGCCGTCTGCTGGGCGCCAAACCAACTCATGTTCCTGGTATACAACCTGGGCGTCCCGTTGAGCCTCGCAACGCCAATCTACCACGTAGGCGTCATCCTTGCCGTGTGTAACTCGTGCGTGAATCCCATCATTTACACCATGACCAACCAGCAGTTCCGTAAGGGGATCAAAATGGCGTTCAGGCGGGGGAAGAGATCGGCTCGAGTGGGCGGCGACACCTTGGCTACATCGGGAATGGCCACCATGTCTACGAGATTCGACGCTAAGTGAAAACAGTTTGTGCATCTCAAATCATGAAAAAAGGGGAAAGGGTACTATGTACGTATGGACCCATTGCATCAGAGCGCCCTCCCTGAAAACTGCTTTGCTCCTCTGTCATACGCAAGAGTAGACACCCTGTAGTTTCATTTTAACTCAAACAACAAACTTGCCCTCCGCGGGAGCGTTTGCGGTTGGTGTTTTTTTTTAATATTGTGTAGGCCTAAATATACCAATTCTTGTACCAATCCTGGTGCATCTGCTTGAGAAGAATGCACCCGAGCATTAACTCATGACTTTTAATTTTATTAAAAGCGATACAATAACATGTATGTAACATTTGTACTGTAGGCCGTGGCTACGCATATTTACTCATCGGGAATACTTTAATATTAAAGGTAGAGTAGGCCTATATAATTTGTCATTTTTGTATTTTTTCATTGGAAGCAACAAAAGTGCTCAAAATCTAAAGAAGGGTGCTGAACAACTAACCTGATGAAGTTTTAGCTCAGTGAATGCTGTATATTAATTCCGAGAAAACAATATTCTAGGATCTCGATTTCAATTCAAAAGTTGCCGAGTCATGTTTTGAATTGCGCCCGAAATCAGCGTCCGGGACACGTTCTCATTGCAGCTATGCGATGCACTGAACCGACGAATTACTATCTTTAAACCAAATAATGCTTTTCAACAATAATTTCGTCAGTTACTTTTTGGAAAGCTGCAACTGATATACTCTGATTGGTAGTAACAGCAGTAACTGTACTAACAGCAGCAGTACAACAAGCTAAAGTAGAATAGTTCTACCACCAGCAGATCCAGCAGCACACAAGACGTAAAAGGTAGACGGAGTAGCCTATGCTTAAAAGTGGAAGATGCAGAAACGCAAATAGAAACAGAAACTACGCACGGAGAGTGTGACTACAGTAACAAAAGCAACAGCAGCAGCAGATTTAAGTCTTACAACACCAACACTAATGCATAAATGTGTAGTTTAGCAAAAACAAGTTTAGTTTCAAAGCATAATGACGTCTGTCCGTGCGATTGATTTTACAGTTCTAGTAATACTGTGGTTGTGGTGCATGTTTTGTTTCATTTATTGAAAAACTATGACAGTAAATGGTTTAATCGGTATCATTTGTTATACTTTTGGAACTTTCATGGCTGACTTTGTTGATTCTGTCTGCTGAGGCCGCAACTGCGACTTAATATTATGCACTAAGAAGTGAATTATCCTCCATGACCTTTTTTTCTGCTGCAGATTGTTTTTGCTACAGTTATATCGATTATGATTTGTTTACGCTAGTAGGCAGAGCTATGAAATGTGGCTCATGACCCAGATTTAAATGCATTATACAATGCTTATAATTCCACTACTTGGTTTGTTCATTCTTTTGCTCGTTCTTGAGAACTTTATCGAAGAGGTAGCTATAGTGAAGAGAAGATATGACATCTATCGTAGGAGATAGGAGTGTTACATGTGCTCTCTCAATATAGTCACCTAGCGTAATTGTCGACATCTAGATTAGTATTCTAACGTATGCGAATAAAACACTATGTACATAGGCGCCTAAAGCAAATTGATGGTGACGTGGTACAGTTTGTACGTGACTTTGTGATTGCATGGCCCATCACGCGGCAACGAGGCACGTCTTATTGTTGGTCAAGCACTTCCTTGTAAATATGGAGGAGGATGGGACGGTATCTTTTTCTCCGACGTCTCTAATGGATTGTGACATTCTGTATTTTTTTTTTCCTTCTTCAAGGAGAAAGTGACCTGATTCGTTCGTTTGGTAATTGCGTGTCTAAATGTTTGAGCGATTGTGATCAAACAAACTTAAGAGTTTGCTCTGGGGGTCGTCGTGCACATACACTGTCCCGGGATCGGGAATGTTTGTGTTCGTGGGGGCAGAGGCGACGTTTCAGGGTAGTTCTGCCCGAGTGCTATCGCCGTCTAATCTTATGATTGATGGCTACTTTTTGCACTTCGGGCATCGTTACTGATGCCTCTCGCCAGTTATATTCACATTACCGCAGAAAATACACGCAGTTACTTGTGAAGTAGCATCGCATGCTTGACAAAACTCGGAGGGGATTGGGATATGGGGGATCTCTACTACAACCAGAGTTTTCTTACACCAACGGGAGAATCCACCAATGGTTCCGGCGAGACCGACGCGGCGAACATGGTGGTCTTGGCCATGTTCGGCGTGATCTGCGCGGTAGGAGTCGCCGGCAATCTCCTGGTCTGTATCGTGCTGCTCCGCGTGCCGTCCCTCCGGTCCAACACCAGTGATTTCCTGGTGCACCTTTCCCTGGTCGACCTCGCCGTCTGCGCACTGGTCGTCCCCCTCAAGATCGTCCTACCGCTGATCCAGCCCATGAGCCCGAGCCCAAACGTCTGGGGCCAGTTTCGGTGTCGTGTGTACGAGGGTCAGTATCCCTTCTGGGTCTGCGCCTTAACCTCCGTTTTTAGTCTGGTCACCGTGAACCTGGAGCGTTTTGTAGCTATCGTCCATCCGCACAAGTACAAGCGGATCTTCGGCAATAGGCGGAACAAACTCTTCATTATTTTGTCGTGCTGGGTCCTGGCCGCACTCTGCAAATGCTTCATTGTGTTTCTGTACGACGAGGACCCAGTACTTGGATGCCGCTTTCTTAACTGGCCCACCTTTGCTTGGCAAGCAGGCATGGGAATGTTCAACTTCACAGTAAACCTGCTGGCACCGTTCGTGGTAATGGTCTGGGTACAGTTGAAAGTCATCTCGATGTTGAAGAAGCAGGTGCGCACGCTTAGTGGACGCTTTGGTGAGTATTCACTGCGTTTTGCCTTTTGAATAGTCTCCATCAATGAAAAGTTGCAGCCTCCATTGTCCCCAATCGACCCTTTACCCCAGAGTGATGATGTCAGCTTGGAGCAAGTTCGGGCGAGGACCATAAGCCGACTGGTGGTTGATTCGCGACGTAACTTACGCCTGCGCACAAATTAGCAACGCGAGAACGCTTCGGGCCAAAACGTCATCAATAGTTGGCTCTCTCCCTGTTATGTAGTTCAACCATCCTGAGTTCGAGTAAAGTCCGTGCTCAAACTTGCTCCAAGATGGTGTCATTCCATGAAAAAAGAGGAAGACATCCCACCAGTACAATGTTGTCATCTGTGATTTCACGAGGTCGACGTCTAACACTTTCCTCGCAACCATATATGTTAAACGTATGTAGCTCCCTCCACCTTGCAATGTCTTATCATGCTTTCTATTTCTCAATATACTCTCACAGTTTCATGGGACCAAGGCCTACCACCGGCCGACCGCCGTAAGATGTGGCAACTCCGGGCGACCCAGACCCTGGCGCGGACTCTTCTTGCCTTCGTCCTCACCTTCGCCGTCTGCTGGTTCCCTGACCAGTTCATGTTCCTGCTGTATTCCTTCGGAGTCCCGTTAAGCTTCACCTCGACCGTCTACCACTTTGGTGTCATCCTTGCCGTGTGTAACTCATGTGTCAACCCCATCATTTACACCATGACCAACCAGCAGTTCCGTAAGGGGATCAAAATGGCGTTCTGTAAAAGAAACTCGGGTCGTGTCGGCGATGCTGCAAATACGTCGAGAGTGATTACAGTAGTGACATAAAGAGACCTTCGGAAACATTGGTCGAAATATTAACTGACACAAATTTCTGTAATCACTCCTTATTGGAATTAACAGTTTCAAGCTTTTTCCGATCTACAAATGTACTTGCTCCGATAGCAATACCAATGTCTGCGATTCTTTCGTACCGATTTCACCCAAAGTTACCCGCAACCGCTGATCTCTTCTTCTGCCAATTGAGTGCTAACTTCATAATTGAAGACTACAGCACTTGTGGTGGGGTGTGATGCGAGAGGAGGCTTAAGCTCCTTTCAATGTACCGACAGTCGGTGCCTGGATGACGGATTATGGCAAGACATTCCAATCTCTCGCCGTGCGAGGAAGGAATGACATCCTGTGGCAGTCTCGAACTGATTGATGAATGCAGTAAGCCTGATAATTTTCTATTCGTGTGGGGTTGTTATGGTTCTTGGAAGACAACTACATGTATTTTGAGACGTCAATTACAGCTTGTTGGTTGTTAATCTTATAAAACATAGCCAGTCTTGCAAACCTGCGTCTCTCAGCCAGAGTCTGACATGAAAGCTTTTGCATCATGGTCCCAACAATTGAGGTATACCTGTATCTGTTGAGAGTAAACCTGGCAGCCCGACGCTGAGCCTTTTCCAACTTAGTGATGAGAACATCTGTATATGGATCCCATAGTGTACTACCATATTCCAACATTGGCCTGACAAGTGATTTGAGAGCTCACAGAAATTAGAGGTAAACAATGCCCTTGGAGCGAATGACAATATCAACTGTTGTATGAAAAGTGTCCGTGCTGATTGTCATGAGATGCTCTCATGTTGAGGCCCACTTTACAACTATAATCGAACACAGCGAGATGAAGTTGTAATTACTTCTTATCAAAGTCAAGATCTTGTATTAGTCCTTTAAAGGGTTCATGCGATGTATTTTTATTTTAAAGCTATACTTGAAAATGCACATTTGTGTCCCATTTAAACCTTATTTTCAATTTTCATTTAACTGTTTTCAAGGGTATTTTTGTGCTTTATTGGTTTTTATGCTTATATAAATGTCCATATTCATGAGCAAAAGTGTGATGTCATTTCAGGCAGAAACCTCAATTTTACTGGTATTTCAGCACCAAAGGTTGCCAGAATTTTGAATATTTCGCTGTTGTAAATTCTCTTTTCTTTGGTGATTCGTTGATGTGTCAGTACATGGCAGTTATCCAGTGAGAAAACTTTTCCCACAAATGTTTTCAATGAGAAACGTTTGGGTTCACGATTTGAACAAAAAATCTCCTGAAATGACATCACAGCAACAGCACCCTCTATTGTCCGGAGAAAGCATGGAAAACGTTAAATGTTAAAAAAAAAAATTAAATTAGGCCAAAAAAAAAATTAGTCGGTCTCTGGTCAGCGCGCGCGTCGATTTTAATAATGCGCGTCGATCTTTTTTTTTACAAAATGTTCCGCGGCAGCTCCAACAGCGCCATCTATTTCCTCACCTCCTCATTTTTTTTACCAAAGAGCACCAAGGAATGGGAAATTGCACCAAGGCAAATGATCGAAAGCACCAAGGCAAATTATGGAGGACACCAATGTACATGAGGACACAAAAAAAGCAAAATAGTACCCACCTTGTCTGTACAATGCAAGCTTGAAAAGAAAAAAGACAAGCGTGGCCGCGTCAATTCCGGAACTTTGGTCTGACCAGAGACCGAATAATTGGCCTTAATTCAATTAATTCAATTGAATTAATCACAAAGGGATGTGAAATAGTTTCATACAGTTAAGGGGAGAAGAAAATTACACAAAATTTGTTGTTAAGAAAGATTCACTTCATGAACCCTTTAAACCGCAGTATTACCATGAAGAATTTTTTGTGTGTAAATATCATATTTATATTGCTCATATTCCTACAGGATAGTGGAGGTTTCCAATATAAAGTCTCAATGTCTAACAATACGTGAAATCAAGATATTTCTGCTTGTCTCACAATTATTATTCACGAACTTGGAATCATTGCAAGACTGTCTTATTGAAGAGGGCACCTAAATCACATATAAATCACATATTTTGACAAACCAAATCACGTCCTTTTCCAAAGTGCAAGCATCGGCAAACAATTGAATTGAGAAAATTGTAATGTGAATGTGAATCTAATGTCGCACATTCCTTGATAAACTGCAAAATCTAATCTCATTACTCCTGCAGAAGGCCACACGCTGAGGAATAAAATCCCTCAATTATCTGTGTTTTGGAAACGATTTGAGCTCGGTTTCCTAGGTAACGACCATGCACAGGATGGAGTCGACTTTGGAACTTGAACTGAGGGGAAAACAGAGGATGTTGTTTCCGTTTAAAGGTACATCGGAACATTTGCCTTCTGTGAAGCAACAAAATTGCTCGAAAATCTCAAGAAGGATGCATAACAACTAACTTGTTGAAGTTTCAGCTCAGTAGAGACTGTACATTCTGAGAAAACAGAGAAAACGTAAAACAAAAATAACTGGATTCCGTTGATATACGCACGTAAATAAAGTGTGCCGCAGGCACATTTTCTTAAGCCACCTTGAATGACTGTTTTCTTCCAAACGATAATATTTCAGGCAGAATAATTTTACAGCCTATTTTAAATTAGTCCTATCTTTATTTTGACCAAGGTTTACTCGTTAATGACATCGGTCTTTTCGAGGTATTTGCATGCAAACTATTCCTACCTGTCTTTAAACATACAGCCGCCCTTATTTACCGACTTCAGCACAGGGTACATCCTGCGTTAGATTACTATGTTAATTTGACGAGACCGACCCGTTTTCTGACCGAATAATCAAATTTTGAGCAGCAGTCATGATGATTAAGGATCAGATGTCTCTCGGCCTCCTCTGTTTACTGAGTCTGCTAGGCTTTCCAACCATTCCCTTTTTTGTATGAATTACTTTCACTTTTCCTTACACAGTGGGTAAAAAGAAAGTGACCTAATGAGAAAAAATTGTACAAAATATGTGGTTCGCTCCATTTTATACAAATAACATAGGGATAATAGTAATTATATTATCGACTATTAACTCTGAAAATTTCACTAAATTTGCGCGGTATGTTCACAAGTTATGTCTATTTTAATACAAACGTCACAAAATTGCAGCTGTCCACCACCGATTATTTACCGTACAAATACAATGAAACAACAGCGTTTCCCTACCTTTATGAACGAACGAAAATTTGCACAGGAAAACAGGCAATAAATCACCATCATTATTTCAGAAAACAATCCTCATATTCAGACACTGAAATAATGTTTCATTCTTGATATTTGTATTCTCATGTGTATTTGAACACCCGCGGTAATCTATGGTTCTCACTCAGCTAAATAGCTTCACCTGGCATTCCATGGACAGCTGAAAAATGGGTTATTTTAGTGATATTTGACCTGACAATTTTCCGGGTCAAAATGACACTTTTCACGGTCAAAATGACAGTTTTCCGGGTCACCATGACATTTTTCCATGTCAACTTAAATGTCACTTTTTTCGGGTCAAAGTGACCCGGGAAATGATCCAGCGCAGTGCCGTTTTGACACAGAAAAGTGTAACTTTGATCCCTGAAAAGTGTTAATTTGACCCGAAAAATTGTCATTTTGACACGGTAAAGCGTCATTTTGATCCCAGGAAAGTGTCAATTTGACCCGGAAAAGTGTCATTTGACCCGAAAAAAGTGTCAATTTGACCCGGAAAAGTGCCATTTTGACACGGAAAAGTGTCATTTTGATCCCGGAAAAGTGTCAGCCGGGTCAAATATCACCCGGGATTCCGGGTCAAAACTGGCGGGACTTTTTGGAGTGAAGAATTATGCTAACAAACGAAAAATTTGCTTATAATGTTTAAAACAGGTTACCAAAATCTCTCACGCAAATTTATATTTCCCGGAGAAAGGTTCTCATCGAATCTTGCTAAGCAGCTATATTGGGTTAGCACTTGTTTTTGCTCAGCATGTTCCCAAAGACTTGAACCTACATGTAATTAGTAAAAGGCAGAGGGTTAAGTTTCAAACTCATCGTCTTTCACCATAATTTAACACCACGTTTTTAACGAGTAATTAACGCGTCTTGGCTGTCAGACAAGCAATCAATTAATCAAACAAGTCACGCGCATGGGCGTCGCCAGGATTTTTTTTAGAGGGGGGCAACAAATGTTTTTGCCAAAAAATGCTTGTATTTCTCAACACATTCTCGATTTATCAGTTTTAGAGGGGGGCAGGGACATTTTGCCCCCCCCCCCCCAACTCATTAAATTTACACCACTTTGTCTTCGCCACTTTGTCTTTTTTCTTTTTTTTTTCTTATTTATTTATTTTTTTTTTTGCTTTTCCAGGGGGGGGGGGGGCAAGTGCCCCCCCTTGCCCCCCCCCCCCCCCTCGCGACGCCCATGGTCACGCGTTTATGAAGTGCAGCCTCACGAAATGGATCAAGTTAACCAAGACTTTGGTGATTCTACAATAAGGATCATCATGATGTATTACCTACCACGCTTTTATCAAGTCAGCTCGTCTCAGCTGCAAAAAAAAGGCAATCAATTCATCACACAAATCTTGTTTTTACCTTCACGTATATTCAACCTCACGAAACGGATCAAAGTTAACCATGTGGAGATTTGGAGCTACGGTAATTAATAATGAGGAAAGTGACTAAAAGGTTCGGGGCTAGGCTCCGAATACGGCGTGATCTGCGTGGTGCGATCCGCATGTAATTTCTAGGTCTAACTTCCTGCTTGGCTGCTTGATGTAGCGATATCCTGATGCACTTTGTCACGAAGCCGCTAAGAACAGAAATCTGCTTAAAACAGACATTACTTGCTGAGGAAAATCAGGTTAGCATTAGCTCTGTCATGCTGTATTACTATACCTCATACATATTCATGACCGAGAGCCGATTTCCCACTGGTCCATTCACCATCACGTGCCGGATGCTATTTTTGCTGTTTACCAAGCGCGTGCGCGAGTATTCACGCACAGGGTAAGTACGCATGCGTAGTAGACTGTCGCCTCGGAAACTACATTAGAAAACCTCGGGGAGCCAATATTGACTATCCACCCTCAAAACATGTTATATTGTATACTCATGACTAATTCTTTGATTATTCTGGATTAGCCCATGGATTAATGCTTAGCTATTTTCAGCTCAATATAGCATCTTGACATTGGCCCGCCGTCCCTTATGTAGGATCATACTATACCATTGATTCAAACTATGTTCCGGAGCCAGGCGTTTGGGACCAGCTAGAACGTAAGGAGAGGGCCCTTCTGGGTCCGTGCCTTGACCCCCGTCCCAATCATGGTAACTGTATCGACTATCGAGAGTTTGTGGCGATCGTGTACCCTCTGGGGTAAAACAAAAATAAATTTTGACAGTTGGATCGTGGCGACACTTTAGCATGCATAAAACAATTGTTTTAGTTCCACGCAGCACTGCAGCCGACTTTGGTGACTATGCTGTTTGCATCGTTCTAGACCATTCGTGCAATGCAAAGGCATTAACTTGTAGCTGTGATGAAGCTGATATGGTCATGCACTTTTTATCATTTCATCTCGATATTTACAATCGATTGCAATCTTACCGACCATCGTAAACTGTGGCACGAAATCAAATCATGTTGTCGCTATACAACCCATCTGTTAAGCTTATACTTTCGACAGTGGCGTCAGCCTTACCGTGTGCAACTCGTGTGTCAACTCGATCATTGAACACCGTGACGAACCTGCCATACTTTACAGGGTGAGTAAAAAAAAAGGAAACCCAAATGTCGGGACTAAAAGCACCACCTCCGACACCCTACCACTAGCCAATATCTTCTCCACAAAATGGCGTACCAAGGTTAAACTCACACAAGACCGTAAACGCCTTCAAATCATGGACCTCTAGATCCTATTGCCATCTTAATTGTTTAGGAAGTGTGCTTGGCCAGTGTTAAACAAGTACGTTTAAAACCTGCTTGGGGCCTGGACGCGGATAATGGCCGGAGCCGAAGGCGAGGGTCATTATCCGGGCGACCAGGCCCCATCAGGGACCAGGCCCCATCTGGTTCTAAACGTACTTGTTTACCGGCCAGGCATTTTAGTCCCATCCATAAATACTTTTTGGTAAAAAAGTAAAAACAAGTCAAAAATTATAGATTTCACGAATTACAATTATTTTTGTTCAACAATTTTACTTCGTGTTTTGCGAAACACCCCTCTAGCTAATTTTACGGTATGATGTGCCTCTCGCGAGCAGTGCGCGATGTGGCGAAGAACGCAGCGATGCCGGTGTAATGGGAATTTGGGACTATCAAAATACTGTCTCATTAGTAGCATTGCGCATGCCTAAGTGAAGATTGTGAACGCCTCACCAATAAAAGGGTAAGAGGGACCAGAACCCTCATTGGTTTTGTACGGGTGTACTTGTGGACCTTCATCCAATCGTGGACCCTATTGTCCTCTATAGACCTTTCTTGCCACGGATTGACAAACTATGGAAGGCCAACGTTGCTGAAAATAAAGCATAGCAATTACTTGTTCAAACATAATCATTGCATTGTTGAAAATACAAATTTACCAACAAATGCTACCAAAGATTCAATAAAAAAAACATCCCGTTAGTGAATAATGAGGGTTATACAGGGTGAGAAAAAAAACACCGAAACCCAAATGTTGGGGCCATTGTTTTGGGGAAATTCTTCATATAGCACTTTCAAAATCTAGGATATGAAAGTATGAAAGTCCAATTCATAAGCTTTCTTTTAGTGCAAGAATAATTTATTATTCAAATCACTTTTTCACTTTTCAAGTTACGGAATTTAAACACAACCACCGTTTTAAGGTTCTGTCCACGGATCACAAAAACGTTCAGTGTTCTTTCAAGCAAAAACCTGAAACCTGAACAGAAATCCCATGTAACGGGGATGTGTGTGAATTGTTTTCATTTTGCTGAAAGAACGCACACCTTTTTTGTGATCCGTGGACAGAACCTTAAAACGGCGGTTGTGTTTAAAATTCTGTTACTTCAAAAGTACATAGGTGATTTGAATGATTCTTGTACTAAAAAAGCTTATGAATTGGGCTTTCATATCCTAGATTTTGAAAGTGCTACATGCAGAACTTCAATAAAACAATAGTCCCGACATTTGGGTTTCGTTGTTTTTTTTACTCACCCTGTATACGCAATCTTTGGCAAAAAAAAAGCCAAACACGACTCAAATTTATGCTCTTGTGACACCAATTACAAAATAGTGCACAGTGTTTACGAAGGAATTAAACGGCTGTTGGTCTTCAGTGGAAAAGGTCTACCACTGTATGCCAATGCGCGCATAGGCCTACACCGTCATAACCTCCGAACTTGGCATGCATAATCGCTCCACTTTATTAGCCTTTTATTTGTTAGCCTCTTCATCGTCACTAAAACCATTAAAGGCAAGCCACTGTCGCTTTTGTATTTACCATCACCAACATCGATCAAAATTAATTGCAATGGCAATGCTAATGGTCACGAACAAGATGGCGTGTTCTTTAATGCCAGAATAATGATTAGCTAGATTTAGCGCTCGCTTTAAGATCCCCGTCACTCCGTGACTGCACCCATATAATTGTAATTTATATAATTTTGAAGCTGCGCTTCGAGAGCACAATAGGAGATTCTTGCGCTCTAATGTAATACATTAGTAGAGAGACTTTTAATGTATGAGAGAGACCCATAATGTAATAGTGGACGGCGCCGTGTCTATCACGCTTGGACACAGCTATCGTTGTAGACTGTTGGTTGAGTGTATACGAGCGACACAAGTTGACAAAAATGTATCACGAAGGGGCATTTATTCAGACCACACTTCGCTTGGATGTATTTGGTGTACCTAATGAATCGTGTTATAGTCCGTCACCGAGCAACTTAGCCATCGATGAGGCGCAAGGAAGGACGATGGTCCTAACCCTGTATGGCATGATCTGCGCGGTAGGAGTGGCCGGCAATCTCCTGGTCTGTATCGTGCTGCTCCGCGTGCCGTCCCTCCGGTCCAACACCAGTGATTTCCTAGTGCACCTCTCCCTGGTCGATCTCGTGGTCTGCGTGCTGGTCATTCCTTACAAGATCGTGCCACAGTTTATCCACTCCCTACCGCCCAATCCAACGATCTGGGGCCAGCTCCGGTGCCGTCTCTATTTCGGCAAGTTCCCCTTCTGGACCTGCGCGGTGACTTCCGTCTTCAGTCTCGTCACCGTGAATCTGGAGCGATTCGCGGCCATCGTCTACCCCCACAGATACAAGAGAATCTTCGGCAGCAGGCGAAACAAACTTCTGGTGATTCTCCTCTGTTGGATTCTAGCCGTGACGAACCAGTCCTTCATCTTGTTCATGTACGACGAGGAAGGCGTGGTGGGGTGTCGGTTTGTAGGCTGGAGCTCCGCGGCGTTTAAAGCATTGTTCGGGGTGTTCAACATAACGCTGAGCTTGGTCGGCCCGTTCGTGCTGATGGTGTCGGTGCAATGGAAAGTCATCTCGACGCTGAAGAGACAAGTGCAGAATCTGACAAGTCAAATTAGTGAGTCAAACCTTTTCCTCCTCTTTCATCATCAGGGATTTTCACGGGTCCAGGGACTTTCTTGGGGGGGGGGGGGAGGGAGGGGTATTATTGCGCAAAGGTGCCGAGGGCACACCCCCACTGAGAGGGGACATGCATGCTCCCCAGAATAATTTTGAACTAAATATGACTTTTCCATGGGCCAATACTTGCCGCTGAATGGAAGAAATTTTGTGCTAAGTATAGCAGAAAATATAGCAGACGAAGATGTGCTGATGCTTGAGTGCGAATGGAGGTAATACCTACGAGGTTGGCAAGCCCCTCATTGCTTACGGTTTCCATAAAATAGACGATGGTTCTGTTGGCACAAAATCTCGATTAGCAGCGACATTGTAATTGTTTCTGACCAATTTTGACTCGGCCTATCTTCTAAACATATATATCTGCTTTACAGTATGAAGCATTATTAGACACACAAAATGAACATAAAACTAAGGGGGTAATGTGATATATCCTTTTTAAAAAAATGTGAACATACTTTTAAAAAGGTGAGTGTTTCCCTTCTCCCTTTCTCAGCGCTCCCTCCGGCAGACCGGCGAAAGATGTGGCAACTCCGAACGACCCAAACCCTAGCGCGTACCCTCCTCGCCTTCGTACTGACCTTTGCCGTGTGCTGGGCACCAAACCAGGCCGTGTTCCTGTTCTACAACCTGGGCGCCCCGATCTGCACCTCCCCGCAGCTATACCACCTGAGCGTCATCCTCGCAGTGGGTAACTCTTGCATCAATCCGATCCTGTACGGCGTCACCAACCGGCCGTTCCGTAAGGGGATCAGGACGGCGTTCCTTGGCGGGGGCCGCTCGGCACGGATCGGCCATGTGCCGACGGTCACACCTTCCGCGATGACCCAAGCGTAAGCCAATGGCGTAAATAATATGAGAGGGTTAGGGGAGGAGGCCACACCCCCGTTCCGCTAGCGCACACCCCCGTCACGGTCTGTGTCCCCGCGTGCCCCGCTCAGAAATTGGAAGAAAGAAAAATGTAGCTATTAATTGTTAAAAATTATTAAGTTTCCTTTCCCGATGTCATCTCCCCTTGCAATCTTTTTCTAATAAAAGAATGATGCTAAGAACTTAAGTTCAATGAAGAAAACTGAAACAAAAATGTGGTCTATTAATTAAGGGAATAAAATTTAATGTGTGCTTGGCCGGTTTTCAACACTATGTTTAAGACCGGTTGGCGTCTGCAGGATGCTAATTACCCGAGCCGAATTTCTTCCCATTCACAAATACATTTCCACGTTTCACATTATTGTTATTAAGATAAGGTGCTTGTAATAAATCATAAATTCACCATGAAAGTAATTTACTATTTGGAACTACATTTTTCTCACCTTCTCATTAAAAAAATTAATTATCTATAACAGAACCCTTGAACGGCTTACCAAAAAATACATGAGTATGCTATTCTCGTGCGTCTCGGAGCAAGTTCCTTCTTCGTCAATTTAAATTTTTCATTTGTCTATGCTCATGTTTCAACACGCCTACCTAACAGTGATGCATTCAAATACCAAGGTGACAAAAATATAATTTTCCAATCAGAATCATATTGAAGTACTTCATCCGTAATCTTTTTCATCCTGACATTAAAATAATTGGGCCCTCACTTCAATGAAACCTTTCCAATTGTACTCTTATATCATAAATTATTAGCTTCGTGAATAACCATCTGGTAAATAAGCGGAGAGGGAGGAGTAAAACAAACGCTTCGTTTTGCCGTGCTGAAGTCAAGGGAGCAGTCAAGACGAAAGTGAAGCTCATCTTGAACCACCCACCTGAGACATACGTGTTTTGTTACAGACGCAGTGGACTGCAAATTGACAAAGACACGTTTCGTGTTTTATACCAAAGAATTTGATGTAATCTCCCCGTCTCCACTGTTAAACACTTGCATCTTAAAAACAAGGAATTTATGCAGAAATTTGCCCACTGTAAAAGCGAATGACCCGTGTTCCATAAAAAAAAAATGAGATTATAATGCTATATCTAGATTAATCTTTTCTTTCTTTCCTTGTTTGGTGGGTTGCTCAAGTTTGTTTCGTCTTTATCTCGGATTCCAGAATAATTTGCAAATATTTACCTATGACCAAACCATCATAGAGCAAGAAACAGAGCTCTATGGGTATCATAAACTTAGTCTTCTTATTTACAAGATTGATATGATATTAAAAAGAAAACAGAACAGCTGGTCTCAAAGGATCGGTCCAACATATAAAAGATATTGTTTCTTTCCGAACAAAGGTCGTTGAATTTGTTGTATATAGGAAATGTGTTTGTGCGTAAAACTGGCGAAAATCGATGTATTTAACCTTAGTCCCCCCCCCCCCCTCAAAAAATCGACTACTTGAAATATTATGTTGCTGTTCTGTGTTCAGGTCTTTTGTAAACAGAAATTCATGGATTCTTGAACATTGTGTACATGTTATGACACCCCTCGCGATAACTGTGATTCTCCTCTTTAAAAAGAAAACATAATATTTTATGCTGTATTCAGCGTTTGATTGTTTGATAAATATAGTTCCGAATTTCATCACCGTTCAATAATTATCTGAAGACTGAAATCATTTTTGTTTTATTCTGAGTCATTGTTTATGGTGAGTCACTGCATAATAGCCTTCAAGGGCTAATTTGATTTCAGATTCTAGTCAATTTGTTTTTTAACGCGAACGTTTCTATGGTTACCTCGGGCTTGATTATTATGTTGGAAAACAAGCGCGTTGTTCCGCAGAGTGAAAAATGCATTCACGGGTGAAATGATTGGAAATTCAATTTTTATATTTTTTTCAATGCTCAGGTCAACAGCAAAATTATATGAATCCTAGTTCCGAGACCAAAAGAAGCTCGTGACACAGATCTTAGATTAGGTAGCCGCCACTGCTAAAAATGTATACATGACCAAAAGCGGACGTGATCTCACCCCTTTCCGAAATGTCCGACGTCTTCGAAATGCGTGTTCGTTGTTTGCGGCCGGATGTGCTCGAATTAGCTTGGGTATTTCTGGGTCTACTTTTTGTTATATTATTAACAGCACAAATCATACCTGTCATGCTTGTTATCAGTCCAAAAATCGAGTTTATAAATATAGACATGTATTTGAGAATTTCAGTGCCAGACTCTTGCCCACTGTCCAGTATTTAATGTAAGACGTTGTGTGTTAAGTATTCACTCGGACGAGGACTATATGCTTTGCTTTGTCATGTTCTATTTTTGAATGTGATCCAGACCTGAACTATTATCATGGGGGCGTCAGGGGAAAAAAGGACTTCCAAGCATTTTTAAAAAATGTATTAATTAGGCGAACATTTCCTTTTTAAGCCTGTTTTAATGACTCATTTGGGTATTTTATTTGTTGTTATTTGCGTTATTCTAATGCAGGGCCCTAGTGAAATCCAGTTCTTGTTTGGATTTATCCTGAATAACTTTTCAAGCCCAACACTAGGCAGACAGTCAGTCACTTACTATAGTTAGATCAAAATAGTAACTCAGTAAGTTAGATCAAAATAGGCCGGCCCCTCAGGTCCAGCAATAAATAAATGTACCCTAGGAAATGTATTTATTTATTTATTTTAATTTTCATGCGTAATTTCACATTATCTTTTAAAGAAAACGTAGGACTGTATTTTGTAGTTGACGCGATAGACTTCCGATTCCCTTGAAAATGTTTATAGACATAAGTGAAACTTCATAAGGTGTCGCTGGAGGGCGCTATTTCTTTGGCACGAAAAGTGATAGTTCAGCGCTGCTAGCTGTATGCAACAGGTGGTCGCGTTCTTGGCAACGGATTGCTGTGTGCGGAAATGCTCAGAAATTGTTCATTTTGCTAAAACTACATGGTTCGTTGAAAAGGGGATACGCTTTAAAAACCCTAGATCGTATTTGTGGCGTGATCTGCTGCTCCAGTTAATTTCTTGTTTGTGATAAAGATTATTTTTTTGAAATTAATGGACCGAGAATATTCTCGGTGGACCGTGCACGCACGATGCCATTCAGGCATGGAATGCCCGCCGTCCAATCGTTGATTAACTCGGTCGCTGGCACACGGTCACCTCGTGCAAAGTCCGGGACTGATTTCATCGTGAATTAATTATGGCATCGGCAGCAGCTAAAATCCACAGGTGTGGTGGAGGATACAGCATGCAGGTATGGATTTCTCTTTTGGATATACATTTTATTTATTTTATTAAATATTTTTTCAGTCTGAATTGTTTTTGGTTGAATGCTGTTTGTTTACAAATAGTGAGTGGATTAGTGTGTATTGACAATGACTGTGACTTTCTTTTCCTGAATTCTAATGATAAACGTTTAGAAGTTCGAAGTGGCTATCGTTACGGCACTCGTTGTTTAGCGCCCTCTACGATATTTTTTTGATACGCACGCAGGTATATAATTATTTGTTTCCACACGTTTTATCGAGCAGTGCGCCAGCTCAGCCGATAGAGAGTAGGATTTTGCACCGCGAAGTTGCGGGTTCGAATCTCAGTTTTGCACTCGAATTTTTTTCCTTTTCTAACCTGAGGCTTTGGAGGATTTTTTTTAAAAGGGAAATAAAGTCCGAATTTCATAAAGTTCAAATTCACTTTTTTCCTTCTAATTTTATATTTTCTTGTCATGTTTTTTATAAAAGTTGCCAGGTTGCAGTCTACCGTAACGATAGAAAATGGGAAATGCGTTACGGCTGCCGTAACAATAGCCACTGCGTTAGAAGTTACTCACATGATAAACTTGAAATAGATAAGTCATGTAAGTGCAGTTGGTTGGACCAAGCAATTCGTGCCTTAAAGTGAATTGTGATTTATAATATGTTTTGTGAATCGAATAAGTTTTAATAATTATTTGACAACCATTTGTTCTTGAAGACATATCACAGACAATACAAACTTGTAAAGGCAAATTTTTCTTTCATATGTTCAAATTTGTTTATGTCAAGTATTCCCTTAATTTGTTTTTAAGTAATCAAATACATTGAAGTACTAGTAACAATTTTATTTTTAAATTCTAAAAACAGTCAAAACAGACAAGAGAACATACCACTCGTCACCAGACTCCTGGATCAACAAGATACCAGTCAACTGACCCCACAAAGCCCCCAAAGACGACATCGAACCCCGCCCCTTCCTGCCCCGCCCAGCATGAACCAGCCGACTCCCCCGATGACGAGTTACCAACGATTCTAATCACCGCTGAGGACCTTGGCTTGGATTTTCCGATGGACCTGTCTTCATCTAGAAGATCTGAGTCTAATTCACCTTCACCAGCAAAATCGCCACGCCATGCCATGGAAAAGACGCCACGGGCAGCACGGCCAAAGACCACGTCCAGTTTCAGCCGCTCCCGGCAGCAGCAAGCCTCTGGCGGCAGGCAGAATGCCCGACCAACTTCGTCCCGAAGTCCAGGGTCGTCTTCCAGGGCTGGTCGGTCCCAAAGGAGGCGGAGTCGTAGTGGAGGACAGGGTCGGGTCGGGTCGAGGGAGAGGAAGGCCAAACCAACCACAGCATGGTCCGTTACTGAGCTGCCGGACGATGACATTTCTGTGGCCACTGGTGGTTATGATGAGACTCCAGAACCAAGTGAACTTGACTTGTCTGTCTCATCAATGCAAACTTCAACAGGTAAAATAAAAACAGATTGGAAACAAGTTTTTACTCTGGTGAAAGCCGATGTGATCATTTACACTTATTGATTGTATGTTGATGGGGTGGGGGCATACAAATGTTGGCCAAAGCTTGATGCCATGTCAGATCTGAATAGGCTAGCCAGCCTCAGCAAGCTTTGTGGTTGAGTGATTAAGACGCCAACACCAGTATGCTGGAGATTCTTGGTTCGAGTAGCTCTTGACAAAATTCTTTTTCTCATAAGATCCCAGCATTGAGTAATATACAATCCTTATTGTTGTTGAATAGCCAGAAATGCAAACAAACAAACAAGTAAGCAACAAACAAACAAACCCCCCAAAAAATCAAAATAAAACAACATTTAAAATAAATGTTACATTTCCCCATCAAAATTCAATCTGAAATGATGAACCAAATCGCACTGTTCTGTCTCGTGCCAGATGAGCAGCCATTGGTGGAGGAGTTTGACGAGTACTTCCCTAGTGAGGGCGGTGACAGCCTGCGATCGGACGATCCAATCAGAAGGCTCATTGAGGGACCCCCTGTGGACGATGCGGAGTATGACACGGATCTAGAGGAGGAATTTGCCCCAGGTGAGCAGTCAACTCCCGGTCCCCCCCCCCCCCAACACAAGATGGTCGTACAAGTATTTGCTTTTTTTTTAAATTAATTATATTTACCCGTGGTAAGTTTTTACTTTTTTCCCATAATGGCCATAAATGTTTTTGTTTTTGTTTATGAGTTGCGTATGTTTTTATTCAATAACAAAATTGTATTTGTCGTTATTCATCATTTCATTCTTTCCCATAGCCAACAAGATAGTCGGTATTTAGTGGCTCTGTTTGTTGATGTAGTCTTTTTGGGTTAATATGAAAGCCTGCACAGTGTGGATGTGAGAATCCAGTAAATGTCTAAAACATCTGTTCAGGAGGACTGGCTGTAATTAGCTTGTAAAATAGCTCGGTTGATATTTGCAAACTTGTCAACGAATGGACAAAATGTGTTGCCTTCCTTTATATAACACCCTCCTGTGACATCACTCTATTGGGGTTTTTTTGCCATTATTTTGCACGAATGGAGCACGGCGTGCCATTCAGCTTCTGACGAATGGCGTAGGCCCTACTGTGCACATATTTTTTTGCTGTAGGTGGGTGAAGCCACATATGTGTAATTCAGTAATTTAACAGAATTGCATCAAAACACTTAAGTTTTAACTCCCCGTGAAATATTCCTTTTGGCATGCTGTCATTTTGAAGAAAACAATAAAAGAAGACCTTTTCCAAAGGAAGGAATGTCTGTTAGTAGTTAGTTTCTGATTGGGCAAATCCCGTCGTGAATGGGAGCGCGCAAGCGTTGACATGACGCTTGCACAAGTTGTTATTATTCGTCAGTTGAGTGCATCGGCTGAATGAAAACGTGTCCTGGATGCTGATTTTGGGTGCAATTGAAAATATGATTTGGGAACTTTTGAATTGAAAACGAGATCCTAGAATGTTGTTTTCTCGGAATATATAGCAGTCACAGAGCTAAAACTTCATCAGGTTAGTTGTTAATTAAGCACCTTTCTTTAGATTTTGAGCACTTTTGTTTACCTCAAACAAAACAAAATGCAGGAATGAAAAAATGATCTACTCTACTTTTTAAAAAACTTCCAAATGCAGACCCCATCCAACAATCACAACAGTATCAACCCATGTACCTATATATCCTGACCACTTAGTTTTCAGAAAACTGTGAAGCATTGTGTGTTACGTTTTCTGTCATGCCCATCTTAATGCATTGTTATCAGATCTGTTGTTGACTGCGTAGTGTAATTTGATCCCAATACAGTCACGGCCAGTCAAAAAAAAAATCAATGCCTGTCAGCACCTAGATGATAAATGACCCAACAGGATACATTAGTGTCCATCTGACATGGCAAAGAGCAATTTATTTCAAATGACCCCAGTGATCTGATATTTTCTCATGGATCTGAAGCATAAACCCACTTTGTTCAACTGAGTTTGACAGTCAGGTGGACAATTCTTTAAACTAGATTTTGTCTTATCCAGTAAGTCTTGAACAATTAAAAAAAAAATTAGTTATGTACAGCACAGTGTTTTGACAACAGCAACTTGTGTCTAACAAAATTGATTTTTGAGGGGTGTGATATTCGTTATTTACTATACCTCATAAATGTCAGGGGCGTAGCACTTTCATTTTTATTGGGAGGGGGGTAAAAAATTTTGAAAAGGGCACTTGTACATCCGTTGCGAAATGTAGACAGGTTTTTTTCTCCGGACACTTGGCCTTCGTAAAATGGCTGGTAACATCTGGGGGGCGGGGGGGCCTGGTACCATCTGTCGATGGGGGCGCTGTTCAAAACCGACAAAAAGGGCACTTTGTTAAAAAAAGGGCACTCTTTAATAATTATTGGGGGGTAAGCCCGTTGAAAAAGGGCATTTGAATGAAAAAAGGCAGTCTTTACAAAATATTAGGGGGGTAAATACCGTTTCTCAAAAAGTGTAATATCCACTAGCTGAAACTCAAACAGGTTTGGTTTGAACAATTTTCTTTGGGTTTTGAGAGGCAATTATTGGAGATGAACAAATGCATGAAAAGCAAAGGATTCTGTATACCTTTGAAGTCAACACAAATTAAGTGAAAGTAAACCGCATAATTTTAAATAGGAATCCAACAAGCTTTGAGTTGTTTGGGGTGTGAGTTTTCCGAAAGCACAGAGTGAAGTCTAGATTTGTGATTTTTCCCAACTTTTTTTTTCTATTTCATTATGCAAAAGCTGCAAAATTACCAAAGTCAAAATTAGAAAATCATACATTACATACATTTTTTTCTGGAAGTATTGTTGCCATCATATAAAATATGCTTCTTTAATACCAGTTACCACTTAATTGGATTGTATTAGTCATAATAAACAGTGCACCTGTTAAAAATTAATTTGATATTTAAAAAGACATAAATTAAGTTGAAATTTAAAAAGACATTCAAAAGGGAGATTTATTTTGAACAAAGATATTCCTTGCATCATTCAATTGATGACCTATGGTTAAAGTTCCTTGTATTCACCTGTTTTGATTAAAGTGTAATTAACAATTCAAAATACACCTGTTGCGTATTTAATAGTCACAATAGATTAATTTGAGTGGGAATATTTCATTCAAAGGGAAAATTCATTCTTTAAAAACACCTGTTCTGCACTAATACAATTAAGCTTTGATCTGTATAAGAATGAGCATTGCTGCATTTGGCTGTTAGTTGCTTCAGAAGTTAGAAGTGATCGTTAGAGACTAGAAATGTGGAAAGTTAAAGTGTTGTCCAAAAGGAAAAGTTTGATTTCGGGCGATAATATGCAGGATCTTGAGAAGTATTTCACCACTTTCAGCCACTATGGTATGTCATAGGTTGACGTCCTGCAAAGGCACCTTCTTTTAGGCAAAATGAAGCATTTTGTCTTTTGAGCAAGATAAGTGTTTAACATCTGCTAGAGTCAGTTACCATTTGCAATTTTCATATCTATGGAAAAAAGTTTCGAATCTTCACAGAGGCTAAACACTATGGTCAGACATCAAACAGTTTCTGATCAAAAAATGGATGTACTCATTCAAATTGAAATACATTAAAGTTCATTTTAAGGTGTAGTGTATGAATTTAACATTGCGCTCGAATAGATAGTTGCTATTTCATTATGTCTTAATATTTTGTCTAATTGTCAGCATGTTTCAAATGTCATGTTATCCCTTTGTATCGGAGTTTATGATGCTGTTACTTAAAAATCAATCTTTTCCTTCTTTTTGACAGACAAGGAGATGATCTATGATTCGGCAGGCAAGAACGTTTACTTGGCAGAATGTAAGCAGGAAGGTAAGCCACTGGTGCCAAAAATCCTTCTCAGAATTCATGAGATTACATGCTGCTGCCATTCAACAAAATATCACAAAAATAAGGAATATGTTGAAATGTTTGGTTCTTGGGGTTGCAGTATTGTCAACGGAGTGAAGAGTGAGCCAGCCGGGCACGATGGACCAACTTCTCAGATGGTGCTTTTCTAAGAAGACAGAGGCTGCTCTTTAAAATCAGTGGCCGATTTCCTGAAAAAGTGCATAGGTTGTGCAATACGTAAGACTTACGTAACAATTTTGTTGCGCACCTGCGCAATAAAATTACGCAACGCTTTTAATTTAATCTAAACATCTTGGACAAGGATAATAGCAGTTAGTCTCAGACTTACGCACTATGAGACTTTTGTGAAATGTGTCAGTAGTGAAATGTTGCGCAGCGGGAAATGTTGCGCAGCGGGAAATGTTGCGCAGCTTACGCGATAAATTGTGGCACAAGCGGAGTTGCGCTATTGCGTAAAGTTTCTTGAAATCGGCTGCAGGTTGGGGAGTCAACATCGGCGTAGTGGTTCTTTCCTCACCATCTGTGTTTTGGGTTTGATTCCTGTGGATTGGGTTTTCAGTCCCTACCTGATTCCATGGCTTTTTCCCAGAATATTCTTTTGGACTTTATTTTCCACCTCTAAAACTAAAATATGTGAAGTGTTTTTTTTTCTAAAAAAAACAAACAAGTTATTATTATTATACTTATTTATTTCTGGTAATGAAACCAAGTAAAAGTGCCCTAGTGGCTCGCAAACCTGAAGAAACCTGTAGAGATGAGACAATGTGAGGAAATTACAGGTTTAGAGGTGGGAGGAAAACACCAAAGAATATACTTGGGGAAAGCCATGGAATCAGGTAGGGACTGAAAACCCAATCCACATGTGGTCCGGGCAGGAATCGAACCCAGGCCACAGCGGTGGAAGGCAAGGAAAGTACCGCTATGCCATACTTCTATAAAACAAATTGTAGAATATTGGCAAAACTTCTTTTGTGTCTTTTGTGTGGCTTACATTGCTGGCCTTGTGAAGTAATAACTCATCTTGAATTGTTTGTCTGTATGTCCGTCTTTCTGTCTGTCTAGGTGTAGACCCGGCGTGTTATGTTGTCAGGCACCTCCATGAGACCACATTCATTATGAGGCATCGGTACATCGGCATGCAGGCTCTTATTCCACTGGCCAAGGCCTTTAGGGTAAGTACACAAACCATATACACAAGCAAGTACACAAGCAATATTTCATGGTTTTTCTAACCACAAAATTCTGAGCTTTTTGTCACCATAATATGCAGCCAGTGTGTTGCATATGAATTCAGGATTAAAAAAAAAATGTATTGCTGCACAATCTCAAGGAAAACATATAGCAACTTGCTGTGCCCTTAAAGAAATTATTCATGTTATGGACATGAAATTTTCTTGGGTTCATATTTTGTGCAACTTCCTAATTCCCTTATTTTTTGTATGAATACTATTTGACATCCTGTTTGGTTAATTTTATTGAAAAGTACACTTTTTTAGCTATTTCAAATTTTCCATACTGTTCTTGACAAATGAGGGCTTGATTGCCATGATGTCATTTCAGGAAGACTCTGTTTTGTTCAAGGGTTTTCTGTTCAAATTGTGAACCCAGAAGTTGCTCATCGAAAACCTTTGTGGGAAAATTTTGCTCATTGGCCTAATGTCATGTACTGAAACAACAAAGAATCACCAAAGAACATGAACATTTACGATGAACAAAATATCCAAAATTTTGCAACTTGTGATGCTGAAATAGCTGGAAACATTGAGGTTTCTGCCTGAAATGACATCACGCTTTTGCTCTTGAATATGCAAATTTTCGCTAGCATAAAAACCAAAAAGGCACCAAAATTCCCTCAAAAATGGTGAAATGAAAATTGAAAGTAAAGTTAAATGGGACACAAAGGTGCATTTCCGCATTAAAAAAAAATAGATTACCATGTAATCTATTTTTTTTTAATTACAAATTAATCTTTAAAAATTACAAATTACCCTTTGAATTACAAATGTTGAAAGCTGCCTTTGTTTTTTCTGGTCATTGAAACAGAGCAACACGTGCACAGAAACGTTGGATCTGAGTGACAACCATCTAGAAGGAGATGGAGGAGCTGTTATTGCTTACATGATGAGAGATAACTGCTACATCACAAAACTGGTCGGTGGGATGGATTTGGTGGGCGGGGTTTAATTGGTGGGGGGTGGTGTTTCAGTGATTTCCTGATGTTGTCATCAGCATGTGTTTTTTAAGAGTTATTGCAGATTTGAAAATGGAACATAGAAACAGTCTGATTTCAAATAGACATAAATCAGGAATTTATTATACAGACAATTCCAGCGTTATGTAATGTCCGTGACAGAGATTTTGAGAGCTCAGCAAATAAACCTGAAAATGTATTTTTTCAAATCTTATGCATCTATCTTATAATGTTTAAGGAGATATTACAGACTAGGAGTTTGGATCATTTCTCTGAATCATTAATTAGATATCATGGTTAATTGGCTCTGCACTGGACATTATACACTTCCTTTCATAAAGCAGAAATTACCCATCCATAAACTTGTTGCACACCTTTTAAACATAATTTGGTTTTGGTACCGAAATTTCCTCATTATTCATTAGAAAAGAATGAAAAGGTATAAAAAAAATTTGATTAATTTTTCTTCATTATTAACAGGATGTGTCTGAGAACCAGATGAGATATAAGGGCGCTTCAGGGTTTGCCTCCATGCTGGAGACCAACTACACTCTCAAGATACTCTCTCTCAGCTGTGAGTATCGGAAATTGAAAATGACTTCCCTAGGCTGTGATATATTTGTGCCAGTATGTGTCACAATGTGAGAGTTACAAGCATTCTAAACATGTATCCCTGTCTCCTCATTTCAGCCAATCATCTGACGGATCGAGATGCGCTTCGCCTGTCGGAGGGTTTGAAGAACAATAGTACGTTGACCCAGATTGACCTGAGTCACAACGACATGGGGGAGTTGGCTGGAGTGCACCTAGCCTCGGCACTGGTGAGTTGCCATTGCTTCAAATCCAACCTGGGCTGTTTTTTTTTTTTCTTAAATTGCTACCATTTTAAACTTCATGATTTTAGGTGATCTTCAGTCAAGGGGTTACTAGTTCAAACCCAACCTGGGTTGTTGTTTTTTAAATTCAGCACCATATTGAACTTGATAATTGTAGGTGATTTTCAATCAAGTGATTATTTGTACAAACCTAACCTGGGCTTTCTTTTTATAGATTAACTTGAACTGGATGAGTTTAGGTGATTTTGAATCAAAGGGTTACTGGTTCAAACCCAACCTGGGCAGTTATTTTTTGTTAATTAAATTGCTACCATTTTTAAACTTGATGATTTTGAGGGTGATTTTCAATCGAGGGGTTACTGTTTCAAACTCAACCTAATTTTTTTTTATTTAAAACTCTATTTTTTGGCTTAGTACCGTTTTATAACTTGACGGTTATCTGTGTGACTATGACAAGGAATACGTTTGTATGGAGGTTGATAAGAAATTGCTATAAACTGACCACAACAGCAGTTTAAAAAAATTCCATAATTTTTTGCCTGAAGTTTAATAAATGCCAGAAATTTAAAAAGTAGGAACGAACCGAGATTGTTGACATCATCTGAAACCAGAAGTGTTGTTTATTAGTCCTTGTCATTTTGTTTCAATAACCACCATTTTGCAGAAAAGAACAACAGATGGGGACAAAGGGAGCACTGTTCCCCACCCAATTAGGAATTGTGATCTCTTGCCGAGGGGGGGGGGGGGGGGGGGGTTGGAAGCAACCTGGCTCTAGGGGCCACCAGGGGCGGATCCAGTAATTTTGGCAGGGGGGAGGGGGGGGGTACGTTCATCAGCAAATCAATGCAGAAATGAAGACAGGTTTTTCACTGGACACATGTCCTCCGTACAAACCAGTTGGGGGGGGGGGGGGCTGGTACCATACTTTCAATGTCATAAAATTTTATTTGTGGGTGTCAAGGTGGGAGGGGGTTCGCATTATTTTTAGTATATAGGACCCTATTTCTATGAAAAAACAAAATTGCTGTCAGAGCTTGGGGGAAGGGTTTCAACCCCCACCTCCCCCCCCCCCCACCATCTTGTTCCGCCTCTGGTCACTGTTCTATTTATTTCTCATATACACTTTACATACACATTTTACAGCTATATTCCCTGCAGTATACTCTCTCTTTTTTTCGTGAAAAAAGTGTTCTGGACAAGCAATATCTCAAAGCTGTCGAAGACATTCGGAAAAAAAAGTACAGTTCAAATTTATGTACGTCAAATGGTTAAAATTTGTACTTACTTAGATATATTATTTTGTAGGACATCACTATTGCCTTCCCCTGCCCATCCTCCCCCTCCTAGGATCACCACCCATGACCTCCCCCCCCCCACCCCCACCCCAAGCATCTGCACATTTAATGATTTGCATGTGACTTCTTGATTGGTTCCTTAATTAAAAAAAATTAAAAAAATCAAGCTCTTCCTCTTTCCTTGCATTTGCCTGTCCTCTGCGTGGCAAAAAAAAACCACTTCTAATTATAATAAAAATTTGTAAGAAGGAAAATATAGTGACGTGCGATCAGTTAGTTACCGAGTGTTTAAACAGCTTTCGACAAGGCCGATACCAATGTTTGCATTCCTCTCCTAGCTGTCAAAGTAGCCCAGGTTACGTGAATGGCAGGCTTGACTTCAGTTACTGATTACCAAGGGCAAACACCAAATGGAACCTCTTTTTTTAATTTGAACTTACATGTTGACGTTCAACCTTCCGTGTTTGCCAACCGCTGTTTTGAGTACAGATAAGTCAATATCCGATTCAAACATAAAAATTAGTACACCAGTAAGGCGAGATACCAAAAATTACGTTTTGATTATTATTAACTCCAAATAAAATCTGAGATTGTTTTTTTTTTGTGCCTTTTTTTTTTGACTGAATTATTTTGCAAGAAACACAGAGCTGTAGTAAATCACTGGAGTACTTGCTCGCCACATGCAATGTAATGTAGCTTTCTGGGGGCGTCCATTTTTGTGTGCAATTTTGTACGGATACATATCTGTTTTTGTATTTTCCATAAAGGTGCGCTATTGCAAACCACTTTTATAAAACTGAAATGTTCAATCAGTGTACCCCCTGCGCTTATAATGCACACATTGTGCATTCGTGACATAGAGATTTTTTTGTTCATACTATCACACCTATGCCGGCCATATTGGCTGCACTCTCACATTGCATTTGGGCTCCATCTTGCAAAGTCAAGTTCATTAAATTTCAAAAAAAATTACAGACACGCACTGTAGCACATGAACTATAATAGAAATTTGATATAGATCAATGGTAAAAATCTATCTGCACATATTTTTGTTTGGCCATGCATTGACATTTTATTGAAATTTGGTATGGATTTTATGATCTTTGCTATGGACATCTGTTAAAAATTATCCCATTCATTCTAAGTTAAACATGAAAGTTAGCCAAAAAAGTTGATTTGATTAAAGTTAGTGTAATTAATCATATATTTGCAAAGTGCATTTTATGAGTTCAAAATCAGAAATACATAGGGAAATATATCTGTCCATCTTCTAACTACCGGTAGGAGCACTGTAATCACTTGAAGCCTTTGTTGCAATAATAAAAGGGGACACTGCATTAAATAACCAGGGTTTTTAATTTTGGGGGAAAAACATTTAAAAGTACAAAATGCCAATTCCTTTACAGAGTGCTCCTTTAACTGGGTGAAGCGTTTTACCAAAAAAATGAATATGCATGATTCCTTGAAATGTCTACAAAGATATTTATGACAAGATACATTCGTGAGAAAGTTCTATTTAATAATTTACTTGTTTACTAATTGTGATAGTAACGTGACAATCAGCATGTTAATTCATAAATCTGGCTTTGTGCAATCATTTCAGAGCTTTTCGATGGAGAAAACTACCCATTGGGCGGAGCCAAATTAGCATAAAGTTAAATATTCATATCTGCGTAGCAAAAGCTAAAATGATTGTTTTTACAAAAAGTTTGCTATTTTATCACATCAGATGTCACCAGTGTTGAACAAATTTTACAATTTAAATTGATGATTACCTTCATTCAGTAAAGGAAGAGGGTTTTTGAGGCATAATGCTGGCATTTTCAAAACAAAGCTGTGAAAGAAAATGTGGATGTGATAATCACTCACAATATTTTGAAAGTGTAAGTTGAGATATTGAAAGAGATATATTGATATGTAATTTTTGAGGGGGCTGGGATGAGGTACACTATTTGTGACCACAACATAGCCCATAAACTACAAGTCAAAAGGGAAGGACAATCATACTCATAGCATAGTGAAGCATTGTTTAAGTGTTATTAGATATCTTTAATTACCACATGTGCAGGCTATTGCAAAAATATACATGTTGGTCCTTAATGTACAATTATGTTTCTGTTGGATTGTGTTAAAGGGAATGTACAACATTTGCTTTGGCTGCAATTTTCAGAAATAAATGGATTTGAAGGATTAGTATGTTATAGCAAATATTGTTAAACTGACTTGTTTTCACATTTTTTTTATCGTTGATGCTGGAAAAACCAAGAAAACCAATCATGTTCTTGTATATAGTCTGGTTCCCCGACCCCGTTTAAAATGAAACAGAGCAATTTATAGACTTTAGGGAGTTGTACGGTCAGAGAATCAGTCCAGCAGGCTTGTACCCCTTCACAGGTGTGTAGTCAATTGCAAAGAAAATGCGGAATAACTAGTTTTTGAAAAAGCCAGTTTTCTCCAATGCTGGTCGGCCGACCAGCATTGGAAAAATACAAGTTTTCTTGAAGATGTCAGCACACCAGGAGCCACGATTTTACAGGATGCTTTAGACTGTCGTTCCCTTACAATCCAATAAGATATTTTGTGATAATTTGATCATTTAATTTTTTGATGTTTTCAAATGTTGTATCTTCCCTTAAATTTCACAGTAAATGCAGGTTGTGCATATTAAGATGTGCATCAGTCTAAAAGAGGAAAAGATTATGATAAATTGATAAATCAACAATGACTGACTTAAATGGCAGGCAATATTGAAAAAGACTGGGGCTTAAAGGGGCACTCTCTTTTGGTTTAGGTATTTTTAAGCTATTAATTTAAGTATTCCCCCCCCCAAAAAAAACCCACGAAAATATAATGACCAACCCATGCAGTCATACCCTGTTTTTTTTTATACAATGTTTCCTTTTTGGTACAAGAGCTTCAAGTACGTGATTTTCATCATGAAAAGCCAGAGTCAACCTCAATTCGCAAAACAGAAAGGTATATTAATTTTACATGTTTTAAAAAACTTCGTGGTATCATATAAGATGTTGGGAATGACCCCTTCTGACCTGCGTTTGCATTCTTCATAGTCTCAACCATGCAATGACATACCGGAACATGCATGTGATTGAATTTTTTGTACGGTATGCATGTATAAAGACATCTGCGCTATGTACATCTGTAGGCCAAAAAAAAAGTCTCCGGTTTCTGGTATGGAGCTTGCCCAAAAAGTGGTGCGGCGACACGGCATTTTTTTTTTTTTTACCTGATTTTTTTGCTTCAAATGTCGGCTGATGACTGTAAATGGTGCCCGACTAAACTTAGTGCAAATATATGGGAGTCCAGAGAGGCCACATAAAGCTTCGACCATAACCCAATCTAAAAACACGTTAAAATTGTGCAGCAGCAGGATTCCAGTCAAACCAGAGAGTTTGGCGGTTTTGAGACATCATCTTTCATTGAAAAAAAAACTTTTTCATTTTGCCGACGCGCATGGCTACGGCGAGGCGCGCACATACCAGAAACCAGAGACTTTTTTTTTTGGCCTTAAAGATATGTTTTTCCCATTTAAAAGAGGTGTGTTTGGTATGTATCGTATTATGCTACGATCAATACTATTATTGATTTATTTTAAACTAGCGGCAGTAAGCATTCCTTTGATATCTTGGATGCATTGCTCTGGTCATGCATTTTAAACTGCACCTTGTAAAC